AACTTCTTGTCAAGAATGACTCTCCTCTCATGAATCTCTGTAGAACAAACCTTCGATAATGCATACTCTTGTTGTTTCACCTGTAGGCCATTTTCTAGCCTTCCAATTTCTTGTGATAACTGATCAACCTCAAGGATTGCTCTCTCAAGCGTACCAAATATACTCAAACTTTGTGCAGAGTCTGAAATCTTCTCTTGTGCTTCAACAAGCTTCTTTCTAAACAAACTCACATCTTCTGACAAGCAAATTGCTGCTGACCTGTCATCTATTTTTGGACTGCCACCAGATTTCTGATGCCTCAAACCGGTTTTGTATTCAGATGAACCAGCTTCATTCGGAAGTAGGCCCCCTCTTACAGATTCAGATTCATTTAGTATGACAGTTTCAACTTTATGCTGTGCACTTTGCCCTGAAACTTCATTCTCTGCAAGATCTGCTATCTCAGAACAAGTCAAATCTTCAGATCTGTCATTGTCCTGACTACTAACAGAACATTCACTGGCATCCTGCACATTTACTTCATACAAACCACTTTCCACCAACAAGCTTTTTGAATCAACAGATATTGAATTATCTTCTAACTTAAGAAGATGTCCACCCTCCATCATTGTTTCGAGGAAACCCGTTTTGTTAGAAGTAACATTCTCATCAACCGGCATGAAAGATTCTTCAAGCTTCAGATGATTTTCTTCATACATTTCAACTAGCTCAACTGGGCGGTCACACTCAACTCTTTTCTCAACACTTTTCTGTTCATTGGAGGCCAGAAGTCGTTTAAGTTCATCCCTCTCTTGCATGGCTTTCTCATATAGCCCCATCAATTTCTCATTTTCTTCATGCATCTCCAGAAGTTGATGCTTTACATTCTGAACCTCTTTATTCATCTCCAGTTGCTCCCCAGCAAGTTGGCTGTCATGATATTGTTCTTCTTCCATCCGCTCTTCGGATTTATGAGTTTCCTTACCATCAGCATGATTTTGTGCAACTGCCGCTTCATATAGTTCTATCAGTTTGTTATTATCTTCAATTAGTACTTTTAGCTTCATCTTAAGTTCATCATTTTCTTTGGACAAGAAAATGGCCATCTCATGAGATTCCGCTTCCCTTTGGCTTGCTGCAGCAATGGCATCAACCATTGTTTTTAGTTCTATCTGCTCAGGTGGAGCAGTATTGGGTATCTGATTCTTGGCCATTGAAGGAAGACCAGGCTGATTTCTCAGTGCATCTTGAGTCCTCTCAGCTTCTAGTTGTCTTACCAAGTCATCTACATGCCTACAAGATATTCGGACACCAAAAGAGTACTATGGGATCAGAAATGTCCAAATTCAACTCTGAAAGCGAAGAAAGGCAGAAGGTACGGGTCAACTATATACTAACACCAGAATCTATTACGTATCACCGTCATCCAGGGACGAGAGATAACATGGGTGACCAAATTCGGGAAAAACAGAGAGCAGCTATATACCTCTGCAATTTTTCTTTTTCATCAACACAGCAATCAAGCTTCTTCTGAAGACAATTCAGTTCTGACTGGTTCTGAATGGCCTGATAGAGTTTACATAATCTTTTTTTAGTTTAAGGAACAAAAGTTTCGGCAAACAAATAACTAGATAAACTATAAACCCTGTTATGCTGCTAGTTGCGTGTATCTTGCAAAACAGAGCTTTCGAACTGCTAGAAAGTTACCTGCATACGAAGGAACTCATTCTCCTCATTGATCGATGTACGCCAGGGTGATGCAGAGCCCTATATTCGAAATATTTTATACGAAATTGGTGCAGTCTGTTAGTCAAGATTTTTTACTGAAAAACTGTAAACTTTTATTTGACAAGTTACAACTCATTCTTTTAGCCGAGTAGCAATGCTGATTGGTAAAGTTTCTATTGCCTTTGTGGGTACTTGTTATCCAAAAAATATACATATGTATTATGTTTTCCGATGGACCCATAACCCAAAGGCTGATGAATTACCCGCCTGCTTACTTTTGCATCTATAGGAAGCAGTAAAGAAAAGTCCACAATAAAGGTAATTAACAAAAAAGTGCAATATGTCTTACATGACTAGAAAGCAGTAGATCGTCACCACTTGAAAGCGTAGGCTCAGAGGTTTCTTTCTGTGTGACATAGATAGAGAACAATGTTATAGTAGCCATAAACAAGCTAGAGACCTTCTCTGGCCCATTACGCTGGCCAAAAAGTAAATAAATGACAAATCCAACTAAATCAGAAGTGTAAACTAACCGGAACAATCATCGGGTCTGATTCGTGCATGAGTTTCCAATCCAGAGCTTCTAGCAACTACATTTCACAAGAAAATTAACAAGGGCTATATTCTAGTGTGAGCCAATATAGTAAAGCACACAGAGCAAGGAGTCCCAAAATGCCCCTAAATGTTATAATTCCTAAGGCAGGAGCAAACTAGGAAAGATCTTTCGCTCCCTTGCTCTGAAAATGGACATCTATCTATATGCATGTATTTGTGTACTCCTTGAACGAAACGCAAAGTAGTATTCTTCCATGTTTCTCTAGTTTTTAGTTGTTGTTTGTCTCATTTCCCAAAGGGAGCAAGCTATCGAATTTTAATGATGAACATTAAGTTTTAAATAGCACTAACAGGAAGCTGATATCAGTGACTGTTCAAAGAAGGAAAAGGTAGATATGGGAAATAGGGAGAAAAGGAGATGTGAGAAAGATAAAAATAATCTAGTAATATATCAACCTTGATAAGTACTCTATCATTCTTGGTCAGCCAATTCATTCAAGAGATGGCATTATCCAATTTTGGGAAAAAAGCAGGCGATTTAATTCAAAAGCCCTTTCCAGAATTCAATTTCTGAGTTGAAATCTACTAAAGATTGTTTGATACTGCAATGTTAGTGTTTATTGCTTCATGCGACGTAGGCAACATTACAGAATCAAAAATAAAAGAAATACAACACTAAGATAAGAAAATAAGGCGACATGCCGTGCATTTACCTTGTTTTGCAAAGTCATTATCTGTTCATTCATTCTTTCACGTTCCCCTTCCTCACAAAATGATTTCAATCTGCATTGTCAAGTATATAACACAATTAAATCATATTCTTCAGAAAAAAAAAAAAGAAGACGTAGATCATGATATTCCTAAGGTGATGCAAAAGCAACTAGGGAAAATTAAACATTTGATTCCTAAACTTTCAAAAGTCCCTGGTCAAAACTATCAAACACGATTGGCCTGTTCATCCATGAGTTGTTGAAAGAAAGAGAGCAACAAAAGCTTGCCTTCTAATCTCTTCTTTCAATCGCAGGTTTTCCATAGCAAATCTTGTCGCCTCCTGGTTGCGATCAACCTGAGCACGTAAGACCTCTATTTCGTTCAAATGCTCCTCCCTTTCTTTTAGCAAGTGAGTCTCAGCTGAGATCTTTCCAGAAGCAACAGCTTCTAGTCTTTTTATTCCTGCTTCTCGAAACCTTAATCTCATCTTGAGACCTTGGATCTCATCTTCTCTTTGTTTGGCCTAATTCATGAAAGGAAACAAAAAAGTTCTGTAAAAAAGTTAAGGACAAACTTCCAGATCAAGTCATCTTCTTTTCTAGACAATTTGTTATCATCAGAACCTGTGCCCAGACCATTTGAAACAGATAGAACAGAAGTTTAAGATGTTTATAGTAAACATACCAGCTTCATTGCAGCCTGACTTTCATCAGCCAGGGCCTTTAGTGCAATGTCTTTATCCTTTTCCCTTCTGAAAGCCCCTACTAGGGCAACTTCATACTCTTTCTTCTGAAAATATAAACTCTTTTATCAATATTCAGAACAGGTTTTAGCAATCTCTACAGTATCAGGAAACAGTACTTACAGTTGACATTCTTTTGTTAGAAGTAAGTGGACTTGATAGACCATTGAGTCCTTCCCATTTAAAGTTTCCAGGGGATCCGGGAAAAGATACTGCCAGAGGATCAGTTTCATGGTTCTCAGCTACTCCATTTGCTAGACTCCTTAAACGTGCTACTTCTTTCTGCAAACCACAGGCAAGCAGATAATAAAAATGTACGGTATAATACCAAGAAACTGTTGCTGACAGTGATATAACATAGTCATCCATCATCCAGCAGATTTAGGCGAAGATAATTGCCAATTCTGATGATTTTATAAGCTCTATTTTTGAAGAAAAGTATAAGAAACAGAATAGCAGTATCAGATAATAAAAATTAATCCAAAATAGCATAAACCATAGATGTTTAATCGAGCATTCTGTCTATTTATGGCACTTAATTCTTAACAAATCATTTTCCTTTTCAAACAAATGTAAAAAAATCAACACAGAGATGAACACCAGCAATGCCAAATTTAACTACATCTTAAAGAAATTACAACAGTGAAAGCATCTCCAGAAAAACAAAGGGTTTCACAGCAAATAACTTGCTCTGAATAGGTTACAGACTCAAGCATTGCACAAATTTTAGGGGGAAAAAACCAAAAAAAGTATAGGATTAGACTCTTTCATGGCTTTTACCAAAAAGTCAATTGCACAACAAGAAGGATGAATGAACAAGGTTTTTGCAGAGCATGATACCTTCAGATTTTGGATCTGAATCCTCATAGCAAGAACATCTCCTGAAGCATCTTCGTTGACAATAGCCTATATAATTAACAGAAAAGATCAAAAAAAGATAAAACAGAGAACAGAAAACACAAAATGTCAGCTTCAGTCAACAGTGATTGTGCTCTTTTAATAAATCTTCAATCAAGTTAAGTTGCATCCTAAGAATTCATTCGTTCTGACTCATTTTAAACTACTAATAGTTCTCCTTCCTTTTCAAGACAATAAGTATGCCACAGTAAATATAAGCCATTGCATTTAATGACATGCAATTTAAGTTAAGGGACCAAAAAGCTATCAAAGAGAAGTAACTCTACAGTCAATTCTATGGTAAACTAATAACTCCAAGTGGAATGTTTCCTGTCTAGACAATCATCCAATTAAGCAAGTGTGAGAGTAACCACCACACCATCATGCCATGGCAACCTTTCAATAGGCATACTAGGTGGGCTGGAATAGGAAACCTCAACTATCGCATGCATGAGATTAAGTTCAAAAACAACAAAATGAAGCAACCAGCTGGCTGAGTACAGCTTACATGATTTTTTATGTATTTGGCACGTTGGGCAAACTTCAATGTGCTCAATGTCTCCAGTGAACAGCTGCGAGGTACCATTTTTTTCATTAAGAACAAACATATCAATATTCAGAGTAAAGTACAGGAATAAAAGAAAACATATCAAGTTGCTAAACAGTTGAAAGTGTTGTGGCCCTGAGATACTCTTTAAGAAACTTCTTCAATCATATACAAGTTGATAGGACACACAAGCATATTAGTTCAGATTGCTAACCTGCTAGATGGACTGATATTAGCAATAATACTTGTTTTTGCATTTCCACCCAGTGAGTCCTGAAACACAGGGAATAATCAGATCTGTACAAATACAATATTTGCGCATTTCCAGTTAGGACAAACACAATATCAAGATCTGTACAAAATGCGAAATGACAGAAGCAACAAATGGCCTGTACAAGGAAATATGAGAAAACCTGTGCATAAATGAAATAAAATAATCCAGATGGCAAACCATCAGAGAAATAAAAATCATTTCTACCATTATAAGCAATGTATAGTTAAATGAAGCTTCTCACTGCTGATGACCATTATTTCTACCATTCAGAAATGATACTTTAGACACATTTATGCTGTCATTTCATCTGAATATGTACTAGTGTTGATATTAGATATCAAGCCATAAATAACTCTAAAGGAAAAGGAAAATCAATACTTAACTGTACTACAAAAAAAAAATCTAAAAAAACTGATTCTCGATTTTATGTGATCTAAATTCACTTGGCTGCAGTAATATGGTCACAATCGCACCTATTTATTGAACTTCAATCAGCATGCACATCAATCACTCTGTACAAGCATGCATGCAGGAAGAATATGAGTTAAATGATAGTTGTTTTTACCTGAAGCAAAAATGTGAGCTTTGAATCTCTATAAGGAACATGAAGTGACCTTCCATTGGACACATTCACAAGGTTCATAATCACAAGCCTGTGTATCCCATAATGAGTTAAATGTTCAAAGGTGTAATAAAAAATAACAAAACTAAGAATATGTGGACAGGGAATAGCACTGTAAATTTTCAAAAGCTCTTTGTAAAAAAATTAAGGATATTAAAAATATGAGCATCACCAACCCTAATGTGGAAAGAGATTTGTTGATGTTGGTAGCTTCCTTTAAACGTTCGCCTTCTGCACCGGAGCTCTTTTGCCTGTAATTGTAAGATTAACATAATGATTAATAGTTGAATCTCTATATAATGCTATATCATTACTCAAATGAAAAAAATCTTGTCCACCATTTTGTTTATGTACCTCTCAGAACCAGCTAAATCAACAAGATTAAGCCGTGCAAACCTATGGTGAGTTACACCTTGTGATTCCCACTGAAACGAAAGAAATAAGCAAATAGGTTACATTTGTTAAATTGAAAGTTTATTTATAACAAGCCAAGAAAAATAGAGCAAAAACAAGAATTGTATTATTGTTACCTTGCTTTCTAGCGTACAAGTGAACACACTATGTGAACGACTGCTAGCATGATTCATATTGGTTGCAGCAACCTTTCTGTTTGTTGCCCCCTGGATGATATCACAGGCAGAAAGGAGAAATGCAATTTGCAAATTACCAGGTTAGACAAACTCTGGTGAACAAGAATGTAGGACAAATCCTGCAGTTTACTAAATTATGACAAAATCAAAATAACAAAGTAAAATGCTACACCTTTAGAACCTAAAAGGGATAATAAGCTGTCTGATGTTTTAATTGATCGCAATCTTGGACAAAACCATGTACACTTCCTAGCAAAGTTTATCTTCTAGGGAACAATAAACTAGGGTGGGAAGGTGAAGTTTTGTTTATTCATTATTTTGTTAGAAATCCATCACTAGACATCATGACCTGCTCCAGTCTATAAATCTGTAAAACCACTTTTGTCTTTCTACAGCAGCATGACCCAGAATCATGACAAACATAGTACAAAAATGAAGGATACTTCAGTTCCTACAGCAGAGCAATACATTTTGTTGTGTAAGAATTAAAATTTAGATTAACCCATTTCCTTTATTAGGGAAACTTCGTAACAGGGTCACAATCTAGAAGCATATACCAATCCACACTTTGAATTAGAGAACAGGGTATAGTACAACAATCAATCTTGCCATAATAAGACTAAGAACTTATAACATGTATCATAGGCGTGTCATGGCTTACCTGAAGAAGTTTCTGAATCACATCTCGAGCACTTGTCACTTCTACCTCAGTAAGATTCTCTACATAAATTCCCTTCTTATTATCTTCTCTTATCTGCCAAGCCAATCAAAGCTCTCTTAAGTTGTCATTTCACAGGAAAGGATTGTGATAAACGTGAAATTCCACAAAAAATGACATCAGAGTGCTATAAATTGTCAAAAAC